CTCCGCTCGAGAATGCATGTATTGCACAGTCGCAAAAGAACTCAGTCTTTGTCCATGCTTGGCCTTTCCAACGTCAGCAATTGCCTTGTGGTGACAAGGAGTGAGAAGATGCGACGGAGTCTCCGAATCGCCACCAACAGTAAGCTGCTAGAAGGCTGGTGACTGTGGGTCAGGAGAATGGAGCCGAGGGATGATGATGAACACTGTGGGCTTGAAGGTGTAGGCTGCCCACACTAACACTCACAGACACATTGACGACGTTGTCTGGGTTGTGAGTGGGTGCCCGAGTTATAGGTGCTCACAACTGTGTGACACTTTCCTTTCCACAGAATCGCATTCCTCCTACAGTGCCAGTCAATGAGGATGCAGTTGTGACGTCTTTCTTTCCACAGTAAACAGTGAACTGTAGTCACTCCGTTTACTTGAATGCTCCCTTTGCCTTAGTCTTTGCATGCCTTGTGTGCGCAACGGTGTCATGCAATTCCGTTCTGCAGACGAGGGCGAAGAGGAGCTGAAGTCACTGGAGTTAGCTGGAAGGGCGTCAGTGCCTTCTCAACAATTCGACATCTGCAAGATGTGCACGTGACTGGCCCCGATTGAGTGTCTTGATTTGCGTCCTCCAGTGACCTCCAAGGTGCATTCCACCCTCTCACTGCAGAATTCGCACCATGGTATGCCTCACTATCACGCCATCACTCACTATTACACGCCACTTGTTGTAGATGGTGCACACAGGGCCACGGTTGGTTTCCTCTCTCTACCCTGTCCAACACCTGATTCAAGGTAGCGAAAGCACTAGAGGTGTCTTGGCTGCACAAAGATCGACACGAGTCTGCAGTCCACGACAAACCTCACTGCCATCTCCTCACATCTCCTATCTGATGCATGTGGAAAGCAGCTGCTCCCTATCCTTCTTCACACCAATTACAAATTGTTTGCTAAGTCCACCACACAGACCCCTCTCCTCCTTACACCAACCCACCTACCCACGACAGACTGACTAAGAATGCAAGTTTGTTGTTCGTCAAT